CCCCAAATACACCCATGTTAATTAATCAAATGTCCCCTGGGCAAGAGCTGCAGGGTCTGGAAGGTGTCCCTGCTCCCCCGGGGATGAAAAGGGTTTGTCCCTTCCGCGGGAGGGGTGAAGGGCAAGAGGGAATGAAAGGCATCGCAAACTCAAGCTCAACTTACCAAGTTCATGGCCTGTCCACAAAAGAAAGGGAAAAAAAAAGGTTAGAGCATTGTGGGAGCCTGCAGGCACTGTGAGCACACCCCGGAGCTGTGTATCCCCCACCCCGGCGCATCACTGCAGCCCGATTCGGGGTGTGAACCCCTCGACCTGGCCGGTCACTGTTGGATGAACGTGGTGGGCACCGATGCCCAGGCTTAATCCCACCAGGAACAGGATGCCAAAGCCCCCCACTCTTCTAGAGGGTTGCTGTGGCAAGCCAGGCCTGCGCCTTTGTTGGCTTTTCAATATCCTTTAGAGCTTTTATTATATTTTCCATTCTCCTCAGCAGCCCCCAAGGCCTTCAGCCAGGGCACGGAGAGGAAGAGTTGCCCAGCTCCTGCACCGGGATGTCAGCACCAGCTCCCCTCTAGGCACCCCAAGGAAGACCCCGGGCACAGCCCCCCTATGCCCTGTGTGCATTTACAGAGGAGACCAATTATTTCTCCTTTTCCCCTTTTGCTCCAGAGGTCGCAGCAGCACCGGACAGGAGCGGAGGGCTCTGAGGTCTTGCCCCGGGGCCAGGCTGCTCCTCCAGCTGCATCGCCAGGACACTGGTCCCATCACACATCCACTGTTTTCCCTCTGAACCTTCCTCGGGGATCAATCGCTTCATTTATTCTCACCTGGGGCAAGGCAGGAGTGCGGGCATGTAGCCACACGCTGGGCAGCACTAACGTGTACATGACTGCAGCTTAAAAATATATATATTGCTCACAGAAGGGAGTTTCCATTCAACAGGACAAGCACTGGGTGAGGGCAGAGAGCTGCCTGCACTGAGCTTTGCCTCCAAGTATGGCTGGGAAAGGATGTTTTGAATCCACAACGTACCGCTTTGGGGGAATCTCTGCCCCGGCTGTTACCTGCCAGATTCCCGCAGGCAGCGTGGCTGGGATGGAGGGCACAGCCCCGGGCACCGGCCTCCAGCCCCCAGCCTCTGGGGTCACTCCTGCCTCTAACTCCCCCTTTCCCTGCGCTGTGCAGCAAGAAAAGCCTATTTTATTTTATTTTTTTGTGAAAAGGCTTCTGCTGTTGCTGACCCTGCTTCCCCTCACCTCCCTGGCTGCCCCCTCTTGGGGTTGGGAGCTGGGTTGAAGCCCAGAGGAGTCTCCGAAAATAGTTTTGGGTGCCCTCTCCCAGTTTCTCCCAGCAGACCAAACCCTCCAGGGTGAGGAAGCCTCCTGGCACGCCACTCGTGGGCACCATGGTCCCTGCTGAGGGGCTTTGGAGGGCACAGCATGAGCCAGAGCTTGTTAAAGCTTTGGGGACCAAAATGCCAGCTCTGATGGTGGCCCCTGCTGCTGGAGTCCTGGACACAGCACTCGGGACAGGGACACGGGGAGCTGGCAATATCTTGGGGACCTTGAGGTCACAGCAGAGACCTGAGAAGTTTTCTGGGCCCCCACACCCTCAACAAGGCAGTAGGTCCCCCCTGGATCCTGCCCAAGGAGATGCTCCCCGGTGTGACGGTGCAGGGATTAACCCAGGAGCATCCCGGGCTGCACAGCCCAGCCTGTCCCCAACGGGCAGTTGTGCAGGGGGGACCGCTCTGTCCCCCACTTCGCACCGTCTGGGTCCAACCCAAGCAGGGCTTTGTCCTTCGGCGATGTCCCCGGTCCTGCCCACACCCTCCCCATCATTACCCTCCCCACCACCGCCATGAAGCTCGGTGGGAATGGTTACGGAAGGGTTAGTCGGGCTCCAGTTAGGAGGAAGGAAGGAAAGAAAAGCCAACCAGAGAAAAGAGGATGATCCAGTTTCTCCTCACTCGGCTCCCTTGGCCCCTGGAACCACGGGCTGCCCCAGTACCACCATGCCCCCTCCCTGGCAGCATGGCCCCATCGGGACCCGCTGCCACCCACGTCCCTGAGGTGCCACTTGGGCCGTACTGGAACCCTGGTGCATCACAAGCTGCTGGGCTGTAGCCCGCAGGGACTCCCGGGACCCCCCTGCTTCTGCCCACAGCCCACCAGCACCTGTCACGAGCAGGGCCAGGTCTCAGGTTGGGGGGGTGGCCCTTTGCACCCTTTGCTTGAACCTCACTTTGCCTCACTGGCTGCTTTGGGGGGGTCCTTTCGCTCCTGGAAGAACCCCTGATGGCCCAAGAGAGGGGGCAGCCCTCGTGCATCACAGGAGGAGGGTTTAAGCCCCCATTTCCCCACAGTGGAGTCCTTGCCTGGGTGAAAGGAGGGGATTTGGCACCCAAATTCACCCTCCTGGGGGTGAGAGAAGGGCTCTGGTGTCACCCAGCCAGCCTTCGAGCTGGACCCCCCCCTCCTTGCACTTCTCTCTGGACATCCCACAGCGATGCCTCTAAAAACCATCTGGTCCCAGGAGCCAAGGAAGGGGGAAGAAAAAAAAAACCACCAAAAAAGAGAGTAATAAAAGAAAGCAAGCGGCACACCGCAGAGCCGAGTGCGTTAGTTGTCAGCAGGCGGGGGGGCCAGGCAGGGCCGGGCTGGGGGGGACACGCGTACCTTCAGCTTGGACTGAATCTCACGAGATTTCCGTCGGGCAAGAACCTGCAAGTGGCTAGAGACCTGCAGAGAGAGAGCAGAAGGAGAGGGGGAACAGCAGAGCCGTCAACCAGAGGAAAGGAGGAGGAAGGAGAGGGGCTGCCCATGCTCACAGAGACACCGCCGCGGCCACCGGGGCAAGGGCGCCAACGTACCTTGATGCCAACCTGGTACTCCCGCACCTTCTTCCGAGCTAGAACCTGTATGTGGCTGGACACCTAGCGCCCGCCACGCCGTTCGGAAAGGAAAATACAGAGCGTGAAGATATGGTTCCCCCTGCAAAGTGGGATGCTGTCCCCTGGGGAAGGGAGCGTGGAGAAAAGGGCCGGGAGGGGGGGAGGGCGCGGGGGCGATGCTCCTGGAGATGCTGAGGGTCCTGCGCCCGCCGCGGGCTGGAGGGAGGAAAATCAGGGGGATCTCGGTGCTGTGCTGATGGAGTGATGCTGGTTAAGTGCCCTCACCCTGGTTGGGGTGAAGCTCCTCTTGCTGCAGTTGGGAAGATCCGTGTTTATCATCTCTTGGGGCTTCCCAGACAGACAGACACCCCCCCCTCCCGGGGCCCTGTGACCACAACGAGCTGCTGCTTGTGCACAGCGCTGGGGGTACAGCCCGGCTGGTTTGGGGTGCCCCTGGGTTACCCAAGGGAGATCCAGGATGGACCCACTCATTCTCCCAGGGCTCCTGCTGATTTTGCAGGCAGGAAATGTAAGAAAACGGGTTTTATTTTGTGTCTAGACCTCTGTAAGAGCAGGGTCCAAAGAAAAGGGGCTGACATACAGGCAGGAGAGGCGCGGTGTGGCTGGGGTGCCTGCCCCAAGCCCCAGGCAGGGTGGGGGTCCCTGCACCCACCAGGCACCAGGGCTGATTTTGGCAAGATCCTTCTCCCACCAGCACCAGGCTGTCCAAGAAGGGACCCCAGGCTCTCCAGGACACGACTGCACAGAGGGGACAATGCCACATGCACTCTCCTCTGTGCCCTTCCTGAGTACCCCCAGAGCATTGCTGCATCCTTCCCCCCATGGAGGGGGGGGCTGGGGGTCCAGTTAAGGCTTTAAGCCAGAAATAAAGCGCTGCTTAGCACTGGTCTGAACACAAGGACGGTGGCATCAGTCCTGGATGGATGTCACCCCCAATCCCTGGGGACCAGAGTCCCTCCCTTGAGGGGACTCGTGGCAGGGAACAGTCTCAACGTAAGTGTCCCCATGCCCCAAACCCATCCGTCCCCCCGCAGTGGGAGATGCACCCGCTCCCCAGCATCCTGGGCCACCAGCTCGGCCAGGTGGCACGGCTCCTGGCCAGGGGCCACCACGGAGGGGCGGGAAGAGCCCCCCAGACATGTGACAGAGGGACGTGTCCCACCGAGGCTGCAGCAGCCCGCTCCTCGGCAGGTTTGGTCCCTGGCACGAGGGCGCAGCGACGGGATGGATGTGACCCTGCCCACACACTGCGCAGGCAAAGGGGGCGGCTGCCTGCTCCCCGCCCTGCTGGCATCCCTGCCTGCACGCTGCCTGCCCCAGCATCCACCCTTGCAGGGCAGCGTGGTCGGGGCCAAGGCTCTGCGGTATCTCCAGGCCCCCCCCTCCAGGACCAGCACCACAGCCTGGTCCCTTGCTCTCAGCCTGGGGGGGTTTGGGGGTGCCCTCACTGTGGCATCTGGCCCAAAGCAGCATAAAACCCGGCACGGTGCAGAGCTGGGATTCCCGCTCCGGATCGGGGTGGAGCAGCAGAGAGATGCACACAGACGCACACACTGCTCGGGTGGAGATTCCAAGGGCTCCTGCCACCCGTGGGGTGACCCCAGCCAGGCAGGGGGGGTGGTCTGGCTGCTGCCTGCCCCCGCACCCCGAATTCCAGGGTCTCCCCAGATCAGGGACAGACCAGCCCCAGGGTGTTTGTGCTCGCAGACGAAGCTTCTTGCAGAGGATGAGGGTCCTGCTGGCAGCTCCAGGAGGGGACATAGAGGACGGGCGACGCAGACGGACACCCGCTCCCCCCTCC